CAAGAAAAAATGCATTGGAAATCAAGTACACGTTAAGAATCTAACCAAGTCCAAAAGCACCGCAATCATGCAACAATAATACAATATATATACATGTGTTAATTTCATTTACAAAGTCAATTAGTGTATCTAAGTCCGATTACTTGAAAGCGAGACAAGAGTCCTATCTATAGGGTTGCTGGCTAGAAATTAATATACATTCCTGGTTTATGAGAAATTCAAAAAAAATAAATAATAATAATAATAATAATAATAAATATATATATATATATAAGCTTCCAAAATTATATTATAATAGCGATCTCAAATCACACATAAAAACGATATTCGTTTCAATTTTGCGACACCAACCAAACTAAATATCACAACAACCAAGTAACAATTATGAAAAACCTATAACAGTACAAAATCTATCAATTAAATTTGGTAATAGAAAAATTACATACAATATAAAAATATGAGGAATCTATTAACTGATGTATACAACACGTGTATATTTTGTTATGGCATATTGGGATGTTCAATTTCATAGCATGATAATAACATTCAGTCTTAAAAAATCGTGTGATGACTTATCACAAAAAATGGATCCCGATTGTATGGGATATAAACCAAAGAAAAAAATAATTAATACAAATATTCTAATATCAAAATAGTAATGACATTAAATGCAGTTGACTTTTTTGGATACTAAATATAGTAAATAGGATCCTTTTATATAAGTATAGATTATCCTATGCACATACTAGTAATTAATATGGAAAAATCTGTGCTAAACCAAACGGCCAAGAAAGAACAAAAGTAAATGAACTTTTACAGAACATGATTGATTGATTGCCCACAAAATTAAAATATTGGCCAAAAAAACAATGAAAAGGTAAGTTGACATTTTCAACTTTGCTAAGGTGTTTTTTTACGAATTAATGCACTTTAATCAAAAGTTTGGAGGGTGTGGAAAACTGGAAATCACCAAGGAAAGATGCAGCCGCCCGATATATAATGTCCCTCTTTAAGCCATGCACGCGTATCCATCTAAAAAAGTTCAAACTTTATGTGTTCATTAAGTGGAAGGGGTAGGTAAAGTATTAAGAATATAATGTTGATGATGGGAATTAAGTAAATATATTAGTTAAACAACTTTACTAAATCGCATTTTACATCCCATTCTTTGTCGTAATAATGGAGAAAATATTTTAATTTTTCGCGTCGGTGAATAAAACCAACTTAGCCAATAATAAAATTGATTTAAAATCGAACCAGAATTCAAACATATCAACATTTAGTTGAGAACTTCAAATTTTAAGTAAGAAAACTTGATAAAAGTAAAAGACTGAAAAGCTCAATTTTATCCCCTTTTTTTTCGGTATTTTTCTGTTGGGTGTGCAAACACATCCCACGTCGAAAAATTAAAAGTTTCACGTCCAATATATATAAGTTTGGTGGACTATTCCTTTTATTGTCAATTCGTTTTAAAATAGAATCGCATTTAAACTTGTACTAGTGTGTACCCCGTGCGATGCACGGGAACAATATTAAAGTAACAATATTATAAACAGACCTCGAGTTTGAGTCACTCAATGCGGAAGTGAAAACTACTATTGATCCTATTTAAAAATAGAAAGAAAAAAAAATAATTATAAATTAAAGAGGAGGATAAACAATACTTAATAATTATAAATTAAAGATTCAGGGTCAAACAATGTAAAACTATTTTATATAAGAGAATATGAAATTTACATTATTTTGTATAAGAGAATATAAAATTTGTATGTTTAATATTAAAAACACCTAAAATATTATATTAATATATGTAAAAGTATTCAAAATTTTCTATATTATTTTTGAAAGATATGAAGTCGCCTACAACTTTTCTAAGAAATTTTAGAAGGAAAACATATCTAAAAACATTTGAATTTAACATTGTGTAAAAAAAGATTTTTCTAGACTATTTTGTAAAGAAAACATATCTACAAATATTTAAATTTAACATCAATTATGTATATGTGTATATTTATATATATATATATATATATATATGTGTGTGTATGTGTGTGTGTATATAGACAAATATGTAAAAAAAAAAAATGTCTAAACAGTTTGTTTAAAATATCTAAAATATTATAAGCATAATTTTAAAAAGACATTATGTCAGATGATATCGAATTTATGGTGTTACATCCATCTAAAAAATTTGATTACACGCTATTATTATTATATTTTTACGTTGTTATCGAGGATGTATTGTTAGCTTATAATATTTGTAATTATTACACTTTTTACGTTGTTATCGTGGATGTATTGTTAGCTTATAATATTTGTAAAAATATTAGTAATTAGACCGATGAAAATTAACTTTTTAAAGTAGAGAATGGATTTTTAGTAGTAATTATGAATTGGTTTTTATTTTATTTTAAGATGAGATTTTTTAAACTCGTATGCAATGAGATTTTGTAACAGATAAAGAGATAAACTCTAGATTTATGCTATGAGATTTTATAACACGATTTTCAATACCAAAAAATAGGAAAAAGGAAAATAGATTCTAACACAATTAATCTGTCGATTTTGTTGCCTTATCAATATTGTCCAATAATTACTATATATAGGATACATTTAATGTATTTGGCGAGAAAACATTTCTAAAATTATAAAAAGATTATTCTTTTTATATAATGATAGATGTTGGACTTTAATTGTTGGTCCTCCATTTTCTTCTATTTTCGGGCATAAAAAATGGTATGATATTATCAAAAATATTAAATAAACAGTTGTCGAACCAGATCAGCCATTTACGGTCTCAACTTCATATTTCAGACATTGGTTAAGGACTTCTTATTTTTTCTTGGACCTCCTTTGTAGATTTTCTTGGGCTAAACAGTTGTTGAAAAACTAAGGGAAATTTTTACTTATCCTACATGAAATGAAATGGAGAGTGACTGGACAAAGTTAAGCCGGGACATAGTACGAGTAACTTGACATTTAAGTTGAAATGAGTTAATAGTCCTTGATTCAAGCCTGGGCTATTAAGGCCCACTCTTATCAGCCCTATTAGGCCCAACTGGCGAGCTACGGGTGCAGCCT